AGCAGCAGCAGCAGCAGCAGCAGCAGCAGCAGCAGCAGCAGCAGCAGCAGCAGCAGCAGCGCACGCGTCGTGTCTTTGCGGCAGCGTAGGCGAGCCAAGGAAGTCAGTGCCTTCTTTGCAGCTGACGGCGACAGTCATTTCTTCTTTTGCTGTTGAGGCTCTGCTGGAGAGAGCCACGGGAGAAGCAGCAGCAGCAGCAGCAGCAGCAGCAGCAGCAGCAGCAGCAGACGCCATCCGCACAAAGCCCCCGTAGGCCAACGCGTGGTTCCACCTGGCAAACGCAGCAGCAGCAAATGCCACACACAACTTGCTGCTGCTCAATAGCAGCAGCAGCAGCAGCAACAGCAGCAGCAGCGGCAGCAGCAGCAGCAGTGGGCACGTTGAGAGAGAAGCAGCAGCAGCAGCAGCAGCAGCCCCACATATACAGATGCGTATGTGTTGAGATAGCTAGCTGGACAGCCAACAAGTCAATATGCTACGCAGCTAGCTAGCTGCCTATCCAGCTAGCTACCCAGCTAGCTAGCTAGCCAGCTAGCTAGCTAGCTAGCCAGCTAGCCACTGGCCCAGCTAGCTAGCTAGCTATCCAGCTAGCTAGCTAGCCCCCCAGCTAGCTTGCCCGCTAGCTACCCAGCTACCCAGCCAGCTACCCAGCTACCCAGCCAGCTACCCAGCTAGCTAGCCAGCTAGCTAGCTAGCTAGCTAGCTAGCTAGCCAGCTAGCTAGCCAGCTAGCCAGCTAGCTAGCCACCTGTTGAGCTCGTCTTCGGAAATGAGTTTGACGAGGTGGACTTCGTGGCGAGTGGGGAAAGGGAGATAAGAAATGGAAATCAAAAAGGCGTTTGGAGAAAAAGAAACGGAAAGGGTTTTGTGGGGCCGCAGCACAGTCGTGGGCTCTTCGTCCTGACAAACCCTAAACCCTAAACCCTAAACCCTAAACCCTAAACCCTAAACCCTAAACCCTAAACCCTGGCCCTGGGCCTGGGGCTGGAGCGCGGAAGGCCGCGAGCTGCGAGTCTTGCGGGAGTTGGAAGGGAAGTGAAAACCGACGAACAAGACAAACCCTAAACCCTAAACCCTAAACCCTAAACCCTAAACCCTAAACCCTAAACCCTTGCCTTTGGGTCCAGGAAGAAAACAAGGGCGCCCTCCTTCACTGCCATGATCCTGCAGAAGGCGCAAACAAGAAAATGGCAAAATAAAAATAAATAAATAAATAAATAAATAAATAAATAAATAAATAAATAAATAAACAAATAAATAAATAAAAAAGTTAAAAATAAAATTATTAAAAGTACTTTTCTCTGTAGTCCGCCTCTTCATCGTCGGACTCCAACACAGCGTGCAGCACCGCGCCTGAAAACCCCAAACCCTAAACCCTAAACCCTAAACCCTAAACCCTAAACCCTAAACCCTAAACCATAAACCCTTGGGGAGGGCATGCAGTGGTTTTGGCCAAGCGGAGGGTTTGGGGCGCTGAAGAGAGATGTTCTAACTTTAAATGCTTTATTATTTACTTATTATTTATTATTTATTATTTATTTATTATTTATTTATTATTTTTAATTATTTGAAATTAATTTATTATTTTAGTTTTTAATTATTTTTTATTTTCTTCACCTGAGTAAAAAAAGGCCCCGTCGGTCCTCCACTGCATGCGCAAACAAACACCCAAAAAGGCAGTTGGGGCCAATGCCTAGCTAGCTAGCTGGCTAGCTAGCTAGCTAGCTAGCTAGCTAGCTATGAATGGCTTGTTAGCTAGCTGGCTGGCTAGCTAGCTGGGTGGCTATCTAGCTAGCTAGCTGCCTGTCTAGCTAGCTGGCTAGCTGTCTAGCTGGCAAGCTAGCTGGCCCGAACTTCAGCTCTTTAGCTGGCTAGTTGGCTAGCCAGCCATTTGGAGCTTCATCTGGCTAGCTAGCTAGCTAGCTAGCTAGCTCAGTTAGCTTAGCTAGCTAGCTAGCTAGCTAGCTAGGTATCTAGCTCAGTTAACTTAGCTAGCTAGCTAGCTAGCTAGCTAGCTAGCTCAGTTAGCTTATCTACCTAGCTAGCTAGCTAGCTAGCTGGCTAGCTAGCTAGCTAGCTAGCTGGTGCTCACGCTGTCGCCTCTCCCTAACATTCTTTCGTCCATCTTGTTGAGACCCTCCAGTAACCTGCAGACACAAAGTAGCAGAAGAGAAGGTGCTGCTGCTGCTGCTGCTGCTGCTGCTACTGCCGCTGCTGCTGCTGCTGCTGCTGCTGCTGCTACTGCTGCTGCTGCTGCTGCTGCTGCTGCTGCCACTGCTGCCGCCGCTGCTGCTGCTTGCATTTTGCTTTGTGTGCATCTTTCACTGTAGGGCAGTTTCCGTTGCTCATTCTTAGGGTTTAGGGTTTAGGGTTTAGGGTTTAGGGTTTAGGGTTTAGCAGAAAAGAGGGTTTAGGGTTTAGCTTTAAACTGTCTTACTCCCCCAAAGCGCAAAGCCCAGGGCTTCAGCGCCCCCCGTCTGAAAGCCACGCCCTAGGCTCTAGGGTTTAGGGTTTAGCGTTTAGGGTTTAGGGTTTAGGGTTTAGGGTTTAGGGTTTAGGGTTTACCTTTTGAGAAGGATTTGCTGCTCCTCCAGCATGCGCTGCTGCATTAGGGCCAAAGCAGACTTTTCTTCTCTGTCTCCGTCGGCAGCCACTTCGAAAATAAAAATAAAAATAAAATTAAAAATAAAAATAAATAAATAAATAAATAAATAAATAAATAAATCAATTAATTAATTAATTAATTAATTAATAATTTGTTTATTTATTTATTTATTTTATAAATTCTACTTTTAATTGTTCTTCCCTCTCGCAGCTGCATGCGAGATGAGGATAGGAAAAAATAAAAATCCGGAAACCCTAAACCCTAAACCCTAAACCCTAAACCCTAAACCCTAAACCCTAAACCCTAAACCCTCACTTTGTCGTTCTCTTTCTAGGGCTTGCAGAATC